CTGGTACCCTGTCCCCTTTGCTGTGATATATTTGGCTCCATTTCATTTTTGTGTGGAGCTGAAGGATGTGGAAGAGGTGGTAGGAATGTGTAATTCAGGCAGACTCTACAGACTTTCTCAGATTTGCCCTCTGAAGTTTAACTAAATAATACATTTAAATGATAATAATTGACTAAATATGGTAGCTGCCTATTTGTTAGAGCTGTTGGCAGCCCAAGAATATTTTCAAGTCTTTTCAAGGTAAGCTTAGAGGTGAGAGCCACCTTATTAAAGATAGCACTGCATTTAAAACAGTCATGCTAACCAACTGAATTGCTTAAAACATTAGTGGACTGATAAAGCACTTCAATCTGATGCACTTTAAACCTATGAAATTTTAAAGGGTTTGATTTCTTCTCTGTCTAACATATCCTACATTCTGACTGTTTTAACATGCCTTTGATTGTGGGTAGGGCTGCAGGGAGGAAATCTAAAGGGAGGATAATTATTGCCACAGATTTTGACAAAAGTCAGTGCTCCTTTCTCATCTTCATTAATAGCCACTGTGCCCACAAGCTGATTCTTGGAGGGCTTTTCAGCCCACTGAGCTAAATGGAGATCATTTTATTTTTTTCCCTTTACCATACTTTATCTGGTACATTTATGGGTTATAAGTTTCTCTTCATTTTTATTTATATAGAGCTCTCTGCTTTTGAAGGACATTTTATTGCACAAAATAAGATATTGATGGGCCCCTTTTAGAATATTGATATCTCATTCAGTCCCCAGAGCTCTCAACTGAGAGGTAAGTTTAGAGGTAAGAGCAGGACCCATGTGCATGATTACAGGACAAAGAAAATGGAACTTGGTTTTTTAATGAAACCTAAGAAAATACCAAGCCCTGTTTTCAGTTAAAAGGAATATTTAAAGTTTACTCCTTGCCGTGTTTGACTATTAGATGTTTGGGGAACAAAGAAGTACCCGTTTTGGCGGGGAGGCATGAGTTTTAAGGAAGGAAGTCGTGGGAAAGGAAGGCCGGCAGGGGAGGCCATTTGAGAATGGACTCTTAGTGCCTGGCTGAGGGAGTTATCTCTACCTTGGGGGCCAGGAAAGGTAAAATATACGTAACATCAGATTTACCATTTTAACCATTTTCAGTGTATGGTTCAGTGGCATTAATTACATTCACAATGTTATACAACCATCACCACTATCCATCTCCAGAACCTTTTTTAAAAAATCATCCCATACAGAAACTCTGTACCTGTTACATAATCATTTCCCATTCCCACTCCTGCCAGCCTCTGGTAACCTCTGTACTACTTTCTGTCTCGATGAATTTGCCTATTCTAGTTCCCTCATAGAAGCAGAATCAGACAATCCTTGTCCTTTTGCATCTGGCTTATTTCACTTAGCATAATGTTTTCAAGTCTTGTCCAGGCTGTAGAATGTGTCAGAATTTTATTCCCTTTTTTTTTTTGAGTTAAAAAAATATTTATCCTTATGATCTGGCAGTCACATGAGAAAAAAAAAAGAAAAGAAAAAAAATTATCCTATATATGTCCTTCCAGTCACATCCATACCTATAGATTGCAATGTCATCTTAGAGTACAGTGACAAAGTCTTTAAAAAGTTTTAATTGTGGTAAAAACACATAATAAAATTTACCATCTTAACCATTTTTAGGTGTATGCTTCAGTAATGTTAACGAAACATTGTTGTGCAACATATCTCTAGAAATTTTTCATCTTGCCAAACTGAAAGTCTATGTTCATTGAACAATTCCCCATCCTTCCCTCTTCTGAGCCGCTGGCAACCACCATTGTACTTTGTGTTTCTATGGTGTTGACTTCTTTAAATACCTCATGTAAGTGGAATCATATAGCATTTGTCTTTTGTGACAAATGTGAGCAAGTGTGGGAACAGATCAAAAGTGCCATGGGATGTAGAAAGCACTCTAGCTCCATAACAATCATCAGTATTGATTCCACACTATCTGCGGGTTCCTACAGTCTAAAAAGCAACCTACTGACAGCATCCACCCTGGTGATTACCATTTCCTGGGGAAGGCAGGATATAACCAATATATTAGGGGAGCTACAACAAAAATTGTCCAGAGATCAACATATGAGAGCCAAGAGGTAACTGAAGTGAACCAGCTGCTTCTTGGGAGGTGGTTGGTAGTGGAGTGGTTGACAGTTTTCAATTTGTCTTTTTTTTTTTTTTTTTTTTTGAGACGGAGTCTTGCTCTGTCGCCCAGGCTGGAGTGCAGTGGCCGGATCTCAGCTCACTGCAAGCTCCGCCTCCCGGGTTCACGCCATTCTCCTGCCTCAGCCTCCGGAGTAGCTGGGACTACAGGCGCCCGCCACCTCGCCTGGCTAGTTTTTTGTATTTTTTTAGTAGAGACGGGATTTCACCGTGTTATTAGCCAGGATGGTGATCCGCCCGTCTCGGCCTCCCAAAGTGCTGGGATTACAGGCTTGAGCCACCACGCCCGGCTCAATTTGTCTTTTGTGAGAAATGCTGTATGACAAATTTCACTTAGCATAATGTCCTCAAGGTTCATCCATCTTGTGGCATATGGCAGGACCCCCCCCACACACACACACTTTTAAGGCTGAATAATATTCCACTTTATGTATACACAACATTTTGTTTATCCGTTCACCTCATGGTAGACGTTAACGTTCTTTCCACCCTTTGAGTTTTGTGAGTAATACTGCTATGAACATTGGTGTTTAAGCATCTGTCTACGTCCTGCTTTCAATTCTTCAGGTGTATACCTTGAAGTAGAATTTCTGGGAAGGTTTTGGGGTCAGAAAAGGGACACAGCATTATGGCTTAGAAAGATGAACTAGATGGGTTTGAGTAGGTCAGATGGATCCAGCCAGGGTCGAGCAAGAGAGACTCATGTGGGAGAGAGGCAGGGGAGATTGAGTTAGGAGCTGTTGCAGTGGTCCAGGCATCTTTAAGGGAAGGAGAGTAATAGAGCAGTGTCTCCCCTGTATCCGATTGAGAGCAATATTCCTGAGGGTGATTCCCAAGAAAGAGCCTGATCTGGAAGGGGAGTTCTTCCACCAGATGTACCTCTTCTTGGGCTCAAGAGAGAAGCTATCTTGCTTCTCTCTCTCAAATTTTCTTCTTACTCTTACCCCTGGCATAATCCCCTCAGCCTGGAACCATTGCAAATATCACCATAAGGAATGGCAGAATTAAGGGGTGACATGGGTGGTGCAGCTTGATATCATCAGCCTCTCCTTCCACACCAAATATAATCTATATAAAAATTGGTGTGCTTGGTGTGTAAATACAACTCGACAAGCCACCCCTAAACCCCTCCTATGGACATTCTAGAACTGCCTGAATATAGGCTTTTATTCTCACCACAACCACACTGGAAACTGCTGGAAGGTGAAATGTCACTGTGTTGAGTCAAGAGGTTTCAATACTTTCCCCCACCGTGGCCACTAATATGCTGTGTGGCCTTGTCATGTCATCTATGTCAGTGTCTGCCATAGCACCTTTCCATTAATGCTTGTTGTTATTGCTGCTGGATGGAGGCAAGAATGAATGAATGGGCAGGATCATGATAACTCTGGACCTCAGCTTCCTCATGTTTGCAGTGGTACTTGGGAGAAGCAAATGTGGGAATGGATCAAAAGTGCCGTGGGATGTAGAAAGCACTCTGTAGCTCCATAACAATCATCAGTATTGATTCCACACTATCTACAGGTTCCTATAGTCTAAAAAGCAACCTACTGACAGCATCCACCCTGGTGGTTACCATTTCCTGGGGAAGGCAGGATATAACCAATATATTAGGGGAGCTATACCAAAAATTGTTCAGAGATCAACATATGAGAGCCAAGAGGTAACAAAGTGAACCAGCTGCTTCCTGGGAGGTGGTTGGGAGGTGGCTGGTTGGAAGTGAACCAGCTGCTTCCTGGGAGGTGGTTGACAGTTTTCAATCAGCTATGGAAGGGTGGCAGAGCCAACAGTCCCAGAGAAACTCTCCCCAGGAAATCCAGGTATCTCATGGACATTCTCAACATTAGAAACACATCTTCCACCATCAAGTTGTTTCTTCAATCATATTTATCTTGGGTGAAGCAAAAAGAAATAACAAACGGAAAATGTAAAAAAATCCCTGTTTTTCAAGAGGAACTGACAACACCTCAACCTTCTTTTCCAACTTTAGTCATGTTGAAACAGATATAAATTACTGTCATTTTAGCAAAAAAGATTTAGGAGCGGTAACTTTACCATCTGTAAGAGCTATGGGAAGGTAAGTTAAGAACGCAACAGAAGTCCCACCTGTCGCCCTTTCATGTAGGTCGTTCTGACTGGTTTACTCAGGAATAACTCCAGCATTCTTGTCTTAGGCCCAGGAGGTAACCCAGGTACACTGTAACAGGAGTATGTGTGTCTTGCTTTGAGGAAACCCACTATATGAAAAAGCCAAGCTTGACTGGAAAGATAAATTGATGAGTCATTTTTCAATAATCTTGCCATAAAATTTGCCTGTTTTACTTCAAAAAGATTTTTACTTTAAAAAAGCCTTGTCTTTGGGCAGAATCCCTTTAACTAGCTAAACCTTTTCTTTTCTCCCATTGTGGATTGAAAGTATGATTGAATTGGATAAAAATTTGGGTTTTGTCATATTCTTTCAATGCATCCAAATTGTGAACCCGATCTGGAAAGGCTCTTTTTAATATGCTGTGTTTTTATGCCAGAGCCTTATAGTGCACACAGACCACACACTCTTCTAAAACTACAAAGTCCCAAAAACCATCTGAAGGAATTTGTTCAACATTGCTGATTCTGCTTCAGTAATATGGTGGAGACATCCAAGCTGTAGATTTTTATTAAATAAAATCTTTTCTTGTCCAACAGATTATTATTATTATTATTATTATTATTATTATTATTTTATCCATCTGCCTGTTATCTTGGTGGTGTTTCTGAGCAGTGACTCTGGATGTATTGATGTTAAAGAGTGTGTTCTGGATTTCTTCTCCTAGATTGGTCGCTTGGTTATTGGACAGAATGGAATCCTCTCCACCCCTGCTGTATCCTGCATCATTAGAAAAATCAAAGCCATTGGTGGGATCATTCTGACAGCCAGCCACAACCCAGGGGGCCCCAATGGAGATTTTGGAATCAAATTCAATATTTCTAATGGAGGTGAGTTTGCTGTCATTTTGAGGACAGGTAAGTTTATCTTCAGTAGGATAAACCAATAGCTGGAGCCTGGGGAGACCAGGGTTTTGATTCTGATCCTTTGTAGGGGGCAGGGGGGTGCTCTTTGCTTCGTTTCAGTGACAGTGAAATGCTTCTCATTTGACTGTACCTGAATATGAAGAGCCATGTACAACTCATCCCTAACATGATATTTTCTTTTAGAAAAATCCTGCCACTTTGCTGGCTGAATGATGAAATGGTAGATGTGCTAGTGAAGAGGAACTGATGAGCTTTGGATTCTTTGTATTTCCATGTGAGCTGCATGAAGTGACCCACTGTTTGCGGTTTGATTTCCAGGTCCTGCTCCAGAAGCAATAACTGATAAAATTTTCCAAATCAGCAAGACAATTGAAGAATATGCAATTTGCCCTGACCTGAAAGTAGACCTTGGTGTTCTCGGAAAGCAGCAGTTTGACTTGGAAAATAAGTTCAAACCCTTCACAGGCATGTTTACTTTCCTCCTCTTTCTGCCCACTCCTATTTCCACGTTGAGTGATTTTTCTTTCAACATTTTAGTACAGGGTCTTCAGCTTTGGAAAGACTTCCTTGAGTGGTCTGTGAGCTTTGCAAGTGTTAGTTAATTAACGAGTCTGGAATTAGGTTTGGGAGTCCAGAGACCTGGGCTCCCTGGGCCCTGCCAGGGATCAGCTGCATGACATCGGGTAAGTCATTTCCAACACTCTAGGCATTAGTTTTCATGCCTTGACTAGAAGACCTGTAAGATTACATTCATAGTTAACTTTTATTGACTTCTTGCTACATACCAGAGTCTTTACACACATTAATCCATTTTATTCTCACAGTAGATCTGTCAGGGCAGCACTGTCAGCATTCATTATTACAGATGAGGAAACAAAGACTGAGAGAGGTTAAGTAACAGGCTCAAGGTCATAGTCAATGAATGGCAAAACCAGGACTTCAACTCAGGTTTGAATGATTCGCAAGCCTACATTTTCCATTTTAGTTGTCCTCATTCAGTAAAATCAATCAGACCATTTTGGGGGGACCAAATTGCAACTCTCTACATAGGCAGCTGTGGCTAACATTTTGTTGTTGAATGCCAGGTATTATAATAATTGACAGAATAAACATTTATAAAAGTATTCAGATTAACAAAATGAGGATGAGATGATTAGCAATGGACTTGCATTTTGACTTTGCCCTAACGTGTATTCTTTCTTCTGAATTGCAACTTTATGGAACGCATTTTATTAGTCAGTTAGTTCCTGGCCAAAGGATGGATTGCATTTTTTGTTTGAACCTACTCATGGAAAGCTGACAATTGCATACTAACAAAGATAAAGTGCCACTTTGATGCATCTTGAAGACATTCTTGAGGTTCAGAAGATACCACTAGAGAGTTTCTTAAAATCTTCGTATTTTGAAAATGTTCAGAACCCCTGAATATCCAACAGTTTTGAAAATGTTCAGAAGCCCTGAATATTCAACAAGAACAACAATACTAAGTTCTTATATTTGCTTTATTCCTTAAGCAGTACATGTGAAAAGTGATTCATTAAAAAATTTCTTTTTCCACTTAGTACCATTAAGTCTTGATGACAATGGACTTGGAAAAAGAAAAGGAACTAAAAGTAGGCATTATATTTTCTGCTCTCTGTAACACCAAAACACACCTCTCAAAATGATGAATGGGGAAGCACTGTGGTGGCCTAGCAGAATTTATACAACCTCTGTTGAAAATCCCCTGTGTGCCTCATCCAAGCTGTGTGGGCAAGTTTCTTAACGCTTCACACATTGAGTTTCCTCATCTATCAAATAGGACTAATAACATTTACCTCTCAGGAAAATTGTTAGTGTTGGATAACTATTGGTAGTATTGGATAGTATTGGATATCATTTAACAGTCATATTATTTGAGCTGTTCAATAATTGTCCTTTTAAAATAGCAATAGCAGGTTTACAGCCATATAATCACATCAGAATATAATCTTTCTAAATGTGGTCAGTCCTTCCATCTTTTAATGTTGCTTGTTCTCACAGTGGAAATTGTGGATTCGGTGGAAGCATATGCTACAATGCTGAGAAACATCTTTGATTTCAGTGCACTGAAAGAACTACTTTCTGGGCCAAACCGACTGAAGATCCGTATTGATGCTATGCATGGAGGTATACAGTCATTTCTTTTCAATTCCCATCTCTCAAGGATAGGAAGTCGCTCTCTTCTGTGTGTATCATGATGCTTTAACAAGCCTTTTCTCAAGTCTCTCTGATGGTTTTTAAATAGAGTTATTTTGCAACCAGAGCAATATTCACACAGATCAAAATCTAATTGTATGTAGCAAAAATAGTAGAGACACTCCTCGTGGTAAGCTCATGTGAAGGTCAGCGTTTCCACATTAAGCATCAGGTTCTGAGTAACATGCAACTGCTGTTGTGGACTCTCCCTCCCCCTCAGAAGATACCTTACATTCTTGCTGCACGCCCCCATGTATTTCTGAGAGGACAGTCATTTGGGAGATGTGGTAAACATACTCCTGAGCCCCACATCCCCACTCACCTGCCCCCACGTGCTCCTTTTCTTAGAAGAGGGCAAGAGCAAGCTGAGGATTAAATTCAGGAACATCAGGATGTGTATAGCTCTGTCTTCTTCCTCCGGGGGTTGTGTGGTCAGGTCCATAGAGAGGGCAGCTATCACTGTGAACCAGAACCACGAGGTTTTCTCAGACATGTAGGTATATGAGAATCCCTGAAACTTATACACATACATCTGCCTGCTTGGAGAAGCCTTTCTGCCTGAGATTGAACCCTTTTAGTGATGCAATTCAGGGATTCCTGTGACACTGCAAACCACAGTTAGAAAGTCTTCTCCTGGTGAGCTAAAATCTTCCATCCTTGGAACTTCTCCCCTTGGGTCCTAGTTGGCCTCTGGACTCCCATAGAATGGATCTACTTCCTTACTCAGACAAAAGCGATTCTGTCATTTTAAACCATTCAACAGATGTGTATTGCAGACCTGCAACATGCATGCCTGGGGAATAGGCAGGAACTGGGCAGATCACTTTCTTCAAAGAATGTGCAATGTTTGGGGAGATGAGGTGGGTAAAAAACTAACCCCTGGGTTGGGTACGGTGGCTCATGCCTGTAATCCCCACACTTTGAGAGGCCGAGGCAGGCGGATCACGGGGTTGGGAGTTCGAGACCAGCCTAACCAACATGGTGAAACCCTGTCTCTATAAAAATGCAAAAATTAGCCGGGTGTGGTGGCACATGCCTGTAATCCCAGCTACTCAGGAGGCTGAGGCAGAAGACTAGCTTGAAGCTGGGAGGCGGAAGTTGCAGTGAGCCGAGATCACGCCACTACCCCCCAGCCTGGGCGACAGAGCGAGACTCCGTCTCAAAACAATAACAACAAAACAAAAACTCTAAAAAACTAACTCCTGCCAGGCCAACAAAATGAGAGTTGGAATTTCAGGTATTCTCTTTGGAGTTGGAAGAAGGCATAATTTGACTAGGGGTATAAAGAAAGGTTTCCTGGAAGAAGTGGCAGCCAACTCAGTTCTTACGAAAGAAAGATCTAGAGTGATGAAAAATCAAGCAATGGTCATTCTCATGTGGTCGGTGGCTGTGACGAAGGCATGAAGGCTTAAAAATGGATGTCACATTAAGGAAATGAGGAGAGGCCTGAGCTGGCCAGAGAATGGGCATGTGAGGAGGGCATTGGGTAAGAGGAGCTTGTCAGGAGATAAGACTACTTTTCACCAGGTCTTTTGGCTGTTCTTCTAACACTTTTGTTTCTGTATTGCTCACAGCCCTGGCTGCCTTGACCTCATTCTGTGGTGTGTCAGTAACCTGCTTAACAGGTGACCCCTCATAGTACACACTTATTCCACAGTATTCTGACCTCTGGGGCATGGTACTATATTGGGATTAGTATCATCCTTGATGAAAATGCTCTCTTAGCATTTCAGAGATGTGTGTTCTTGGTGGTTATGTAAAATGTCACTGTAAACATATGTACCTGGCTTCTCCTGTTGTTTGTTGGTGGTGGTGGGTTTTTCGTTTTGTTTTTTTTTGAGACAGAGTCTTGCCCTGTTGCCCAGGCTGGAGTGCAGTGATGCAATCTCGGCTTACTATAACCTCCTTCTCCCAAGTTCAAGCAATTCTCCTGTCTCAGCCTCCTGAGTAGCTGGATTATAGGTGCCTGCCACCACACCTGGCTAATCTGTGTGTGTGTGTGTGTGTGTGTGTGTGTGTGTATACACACATACATATATATATATATATATATGTTTTTTAGTAGAGACAGGGTCTCACCGTCTTGGCCAGGCTGGTCTCAAACTCCTGACCTCATGTGATCTGCCTGCCTCAGGCTCCCAAAGTACTGAGATTACAGGTGTGAGCCACTGTACCCAGCCTGTTTGTGGTTTTTTAATCAGTTTGTCAGCTAGCTTGTCATAGTAGAAAGATAACAGCTCTGAATCCCAATTCCTACTTTTTCTAGCCATGTAAGTTTGGGCAAATGTCTTTACCTCAGAACACCAGCATTCCAATGTATCTGTAAACTGCAGGTGATAATCATAATGGAAACTTTTGTAACATATCTGCCAGGGACTATTCTCAGTGCTTCATAACTCTTAACTCATGTAATCCTTACATCAATCCTGTTAGGTAGTTAGCATTATGACCCTCATTTTGCAAATGGAAGAGACTGAGGCACAGAGAGTTTAAATAACTTTCCCAAAATTATACAGCCCATGATCAGCAGAGCTGGGATTTGAACCCAGACACTCTGATTTCAGAGTCCAGGCTCTTAAGCTCCAAGCTATACCACCTTCTGAGCTTTTCTGAAGGACTGAATGAGAAAGCACAGGTGTACAGTAGGGCCTTCATAATGGTTGGTTTCCTTTCTTTTCCCCACTCTGCCCTTCATGAACTGGCCCCACCATTTCCAACATAATCTCTCTTTGTTCCATTTTCGAGAACATTCTTCTCCAGTCAGGTGTATCTCTCCACTAGTCCCTGAACACATTTCACATGTTCTTGTTGTTTCTCATGCCATTCTTCTCCCCAGAATGCATCCACCTCAGCCCTGAATCCTCACATCCTTTCAGGACTTTTATTTTCTGATTCTACATACTTTTATTCCACGTTGTATATAGTTGTGGGACCGTATGTAAAGAAGATCCTCTGTGAAGAACTCGGTGCCCCTGCAAACTCAGCAGTTAACTGCGTTCCTCTGGAGGACTTTGGAGGCCACCACCCTGACCCCAACCTCACCTATGCAGCTGACCTGGTGGAGACCATGAAGTCAGGAGAGCATGATTTTGGGGCTGCCTTTGATGGAGATGGGGTAGGTATAAGTGCATTTAAGTGAACTCTGGTGCAGGCCAGGCCTGATCCTGCAGATGGGGAAAAAGGTGGGCTGCTTCTGCCAGACCCTGGGAGTGACTGTTAAGGATCCCTCATTCTGACCCGAGGTCAGCGCTAAATTATTAGAAGACCCTCTTGAACAGGAATAGGAGTCATTGAAATGAAACCCACACGTTTAATTTCAGACATCCATACTTGCTAACAGTGGCACGATGATTAGGTTCTGGTTATGATAGAATGACTGGTATTTCATGAACTGGGTGAGTTCTAGATGCCTGTCTTAAGGTAGGTTTCTGCTCTCAACCAGCAGCTGGCTACTTACTTAATCTCTGGACAAGGTTTTGGTCTTATAATACACCCATTCATTCATTCACACGAGCTGAATATTGAAGCTGCAATTTCATGGCCTATATGAAGATGATATTGAGAGAATTAACATTTTAATCATTCTCTACAATTAAAATGTTTAGAAATAAGCTGTTTTATTTACAAGGGTGACTATGTACCGGACAAGGAAGAGATGTGTCTTAGGTTTATATCCCTATATCTCACTGATGGTAGACACTGTACACATTTACTTAGTTGAAAATATATTTTTGTCGTTACTAGTGTTCTTTACCATTAGCTAGAATCCACTGTTTCCTGAAAAATAATTTTTCCCTTATCAAAATGTTGGGAAATTAGAGGGGTTCCAGCAGACATTATTTTGTAGTACATGTTTGTGATGCAGTGCATGCTGGGAGTATTTTTTGGCCACCCTCCCAGTTACTGTGGTACACAGACTGTGGTACGCAGTTTACCCAGTAGACCTACCAAACTATGTAAACAGCCAATATTTCTTCTCTCATTGCGTTTTCTCCTCCCCTGGGAAAAAGATGATTGGTTCCGGAGTCTGGAAAAAGTCTAGGAGGTTAAAGTGAGCTGGCCTCTGGAGGGAGAACAGAGGACTCAGCTCAAAAGGAGGTTGTGCTTGGACTTTAATTGAAAACAGTTTTAACTCTTTGGCATGGAGGTGCCTTTGGCCCAACGGTACTGTATAAACCCATTGAAAATAAAACCCAGTGTTAAAAAAGCAGTATGGAAAAGAGATCAATTTCAAATTTTATGGTTTTAAATTTTATAAAACCCCCATGAAAGATAGTTTGATTTCTTCTAGTTTGATTAAAAGGTCTTTCTTTGATCCTCTCTTCTCCCCAAGGATCGAAACATGATTCTGGGCAAGCATGGGTTCTTTGTGAACCCTTCAGACTCTGTGGCTGTCATTGCTGCCAACATCTTCAGCATTCCGTATTTCCAGCAGACCGGGGTCCGTGGCTTTGCACGGAGCATGCCCACGAGTGGTGCCCTGGACCGGTAGGTCTCTCCATTCCCTTGACCTTCCTGTCTCGGGTCGTCCCAGTCTTCACTGCACCCTTCACTGTGCCTGGAACACGTGTCCTTCCCTTTCAGCATCGGCATCTGATGCATAGAGTGTGCTGAGCGATTCCTGTGTGAGGGGATGGGTGGCTTTTTCTGGATTCGATGCCCCTCTCCGCACTCCCTTGGCACCCTGGGCCTCCTCCTCCTGGCACTTACCACACTGTGTTCTAGTAGCCTGTTTTCTCTTTGGCCTGCCCTGCTAGACTGTATACTTCTGCAGAGAAAGGACTGCCTTGTTCACCATCCTGGACTCTGCCTGACCATAGTGTGCCTGGCACATGGTAGGACAAACACACACACGCATATACTTTTTTAAAGTGAATGAATAGTTGAGTGTTAATGAATAACAATGAAAATACTCAAAACATCATTTTGGAGGATCACTTTCCTTTTGCAGTGTGTACAGAGTGTGGGTGAAAGAGCAGTTTGAAGTATTTTTAGAGTTTCAACAGAACTGGATCGCTCATGCCCACACAAACACAGTGAATGTTTATATATCACTTCATTGTACAAAAGCTTTGAGGTGGCTTGTTAGATCATACTTAAAAAATTGAAAAATAAAAGTCATAACAGATGAGGACCAGGGAAAATATTAGTTAGAATATGTCAGATGTGCAGGAAACGTTTGATGAATAAAAGGTAAAGAATGAATGAATGAGTAAAAGGTCAAGACCAGAGAGGAAAGTAGGCTGTGATATATATCTAGGCTCTTATAGTAATAGCTAATATTTATTGAACATTACCTTGTTGTAGACACTAAATATTTTGCATGTTTTAATTCATTAATTCTTAGATGAACCCCATGAGATAAATCCTATATTTAACACCATTTTTCTGGTGGAAACACCAAAGGACAAAGAAGTAACTAACCTGAGGTCACCCAGCTGGTAAATGGCTGACTCGGGATTTGAACCCAGAGCCTTTGCTCCCACCCACTGGGCCATGCAGTTTTTTTCTGTAGAGGAGAGAAGGTTATAGAATTGGTGCTGACTTTGCTTTGGCTAACAGGAAAATAGCCACTAATATCCACATAGTGGTTTGTAGTTTGTGTAGTGTTTTTTACATTCACCATCTCAATTGATCCTCACAGCAGACCTCATTTTAAGGAAGAGGAAATGGAAAGTCAGGGAAGCTAATAGTCTTGTCCAAGACCTCACCACCAAATTAGAACTAGCATTTGAGCCCAGCGTGTCTACCACCAGGTCCTGCATTTGAAATTATGAGCTGGTTTGAGGTCACACTGTCATACATTAGGCCTGTCAGGTCCTGGAATACCTTCTGTGTCACGCAAAAACAGTGTAATTCCAATTTTTGGAAAAATTGATAATCCACATATAGAATCATAACTGAAGTACCTCATTACCCAGATAAAAGTTTTTTGTACTTTCAGAGTTTTCAAAATCATAGATTTGATTTTTTCCTCAAATATCAGAACACAAAGCTGACATTGCTTTCCTGGAAATAAGGCAAACGTTCTGGGAAGCAAATCTCACTCAAACAGTGAATGGAACTTATCAGGTAACTTTTCATGTTCAAAGGGAAAGGAATTTTTTTTTCTAAGTCACTCAAAGGTTTTAAGTAGTCTAAAGATACCTAGAGAGAAATAAAACACATGTTAGAAGGGAAGGGGAACCACTAATCAGTGTGTGTGAAGCCAGTACATAGGGGAGACCCCACTGGGCGTTTCCCCTGGGACGACTTCTTATGAGACAAAAGCAGCACTCACCGGGCAGCTGAATACTGGGCGGTCGGTCATCCTGGCTTTGTGACCTTGGTCTGATCACATAACATTCTGGGCCCTGTTTCCTTCTCTGTAAAATGCTAACTGCCCAGACCCAGTATGTCATGATTCTGTGATTATGGGTATATCAAAACACCATTATTCTCTTCTTTATAGATTGTAGAGATGCAGTCTGTATCCAAAATGTGGGTTTAAACAGCCTAAACAGCAGCCCTGAACATTTTACTATGGATGCCTCTTCTAAAATATTAAACTCCATGATCTGAATTAATTCTTTCTTCTTCCACCTTCTCTGAATCCACATATAATAGCCCATTGTGCACAAAGTTTCTCTTATGATTTTCCACCAATCTTAGATTTATGTGTGACTCTGCGCAATGCTAAATGGGACCCTTGATTACAATAACTGTTGCCCTTTTCCGTCCCTCACATGGCTACGCTGACAGTCCTGCTGTGATGTAACTTTGATTTCATGCCTTTGAAGGGTGGCTAATGCTACAAAGATCGCTTTGTATGAGACCCCAACTGGCTGGAAGTTTTTTGGGAATTTGATGGATGCGAGCAAACTGTCCCTTTGTGGGGAGGAGAGCTTCGGGACTGGTAAGTCACACTCCTGTGCTAGCATTTTCCTCCCTGTAACCACTATTTCCAGTAAAAGCTTAGACTGCTAAGGTAGCACTGAAATAGCAACAGTAGCTGATGTGTCCTAAATCAAGGTACAAATTATTTATAACAACCCTGGTGAAGTGTACACATTTGAAAAGGGGTGAGCACATTCAGCCAGAAAGGCTGATTTTACTTTCAGAGGATCACATGGACTCAGACAGGAAGCTGGGGGGGGGCCTCCTCGGCAGCGTGGTCATTGAGTCTGTAGGGATTAAACAGAGTGATAAACAGATTTTTCTTCCTTCAGTGGTCAAAGAAACCTTCATAGATGTTTTCATTTCTGAGAAGAAATACGGTGGAGCAAGCCAGTTTTTTGTTTTTATTTAAGAAGAGGTTTCAGCACAGCATTAAATCTTTCTCTTCTATAGGCCCAAGTTTTCTATAGCAGAATAATCAAGGCTGAGTGAAGGAAGACCATGAGGGTGGAACTAAGTTGCTAGGTGATCAAGAAATTAAAAATACCTCCTTGTGCCTGAGGGTGTATGTGTAATTGTATTAATATTTAAGTGAAAGAAGAGTACATAGTATTCTCGGGGGATGACCCAAGACCCATAGACCCCACTCTGTGCTCCCTCCTTCCTCCTTTCTGCTTGTCCAAATATTGACCCGAACTCCCACCTCTTTCATGACCTTCTCTGCTACCTCATGCTGCCTGCATCAGTCTCTCTTTTCTAAACATCTGTTCAGGTGTGTGGCCCTGTCCCATGTATCAGTCTCTGGCCAGGTTCTAAGGTACTTAAGTGACTACATCTCTTCTCCTTTTATTCCCTCTACCCGATATTTTTAAGTAAATGCACTGACCTTGATCCTATGGTGCTCTATTGTCACGCTTTAGTGAAGAAAAGAAGATCAAAACCAAGCATTCTCTCAGCTTTGCAACTGAGTTGTAGTTCATGCCAGGTTAAACAGAACAGAATACTGGTTTCCTTTCCCTTCCTATAAGTCTGGAGGTAGAGCGGGTAGAATGAGCTGCTAAATTGGAGGTACATATTTACAAAGTTCTAAGCAACTTGGTCTTTTTGAGAGTGGTAATATTCCTTGGCAATGAACTGCCTTGACAGAATTGGAAGGTATGAAGTAGGCTGGATGAGTCTTGGGGTTGAACAACTTCCACAACAAAGGCTAGACAGTTTCCCAAAGTTGTAGGTGCTTAAATCAGAGATTACAAGGCCACTGCTTAGTCCTTTTCTGCTTCATATAATGTGCACGGTGCCATGCTATTCTGAGGGTTACTACGTGAATGCCCAATGAGCCTATGAGGTGGTCTTCTCCCATGAAACTCCCCACAGTGTCATCTAGTTCAGGCCTGGCATCAGTCATTCTTTATGAATGAAGATGTCTTTGAAGGCAGCAACTGTGTCAAAACCTTTGGTTTCCTGTTCCCATGTACTTTTATCAGTGTGGAGCCTAATGAAAAGATAAAAGTCTAGAGTCAGGTTTCCCAGGGCATGTGGGTATGTGGAAGAATACTAGTTCCATGAGAGGGTTCTAGGGGTCAAGAAAAAGTGGGAAAATTGGACCACACTTCTCTATTTTGGATATTCACAATGATATTAGCATTTGAAGATTCCAGAACATTCTGCCATAAAGAATCCTGTTAGTACAGTTTTGCCTAAACATAGTTTACCACTGTATATAATAATTATGATGATATTATATAATATCATCACTGCAATAATGATAATTATTATCATCATCATTTCATAGTAAGTACGGTAACTTTTTTTTCCACAGACTCATGTGGGAAGCCTTGGGCAAGAGGGATCAGAGCCCCAGAGATAAGTAGGAATCCCTGGTGCTGACCGGCAGGGAATAGGCCTAAAGACAGGATGGCACAAGCTGCTCCTCTTACATGACAGGTCTTCAAATACAAGAAGCAGCTCTCAGGTCCTTCCTTCCTCAGGCTGTCCATCTTTGTTTCCTCTAGTCATTCCTCATTTCACATTGTTTATAGACTCAGCGCCAGCCTCTAGGTGCTTCTGAGTTTACCAGTGCCACTCTTGGAAGGTGATGCCCAGAACTGAGCCCAGATCTTCCAGGGTTGGCCTGGCAAGTGAAGAGTAGGGTGGGATGATTATTTCTAGTGATTGGGGCACTGTATTTTTCTTGACATAACTTTCCTTTATGTTAGTTTTTAGGAAGTTGCATAATACTGTTTAGCCCATGTAAGGTTGTGGGTAATTAAACCCTAAAAGTTTTTACCTAGAACTATTTGCCAAGGGAAGTCTCTCATGTTATGTTTGTGGAATTGATTTCTTTGAACCAAAGTATTAGACTTTAGACTATTGTAAAAGTTTGTTCTCATTTATTAACACATTCAACAAATGCCTAGTACCAATCATGGTTTTAGCTTCTCCTTGGTATATTTCATATCCAAAGAGAGAATGCACTTCATTATCATGAGGATAATCACAAGCTCTTTCTCTCTCTCTCTCTCTTCAAAAAAAGAAAATTGTTGTGTAATATTTCTCAGATAAACATTTAAACAGCCAGGCTGCATAGCCATGGATCTCCACTGTTGTGACCGAGTGCAGCTGGGCTTACTTAACTGAACTCCTGATCTTCTTATTTATAGAGGAGTTAATTTTTAGCTACCGTGTCCCTTGCTAGTGAATGTTTCCAACAGTTCTTTCATAGTTTCTCAGGGTAGACATTAGTGACTCTATGAACTTTGAAACATTTGAATTCTATAGCTTAATTGAGCACAGAGTGCTTTATTTCTGTATTTTTCCAGGCAATAGCAGAGAAAATTTCTCAAAAACGCTTCCTTGACCTTTCAGGGTGGGCCAAATTCCCTGATTATTGACTCTTGTGGCACCATGTACCTCTTCTTTGTTGTATTTGTTGCAGCTGTGATTCTACAATTACTTATGATTATTTGATTAGTGTCTGTTGGCTCCACTAGACTGTATGTGCCATGAGGACAGAGATCTTATGTGTCTTATCCTGCATTGTATCCCTTGAGCCTCCCGTAGAGCCCAACATAGAACAGGTGCTCAATAAACTCTTGTTGAATGAGTTCATGAACACTATTCACTTGGCACTTTCTATTTAGACAAACAGATGCCTGCTGTTGGAAAAGAAAGAACTTTAAAAGGTATCTGATGTAAATTCCTGTATGATGCTGGAATCATAGTGACTGCTCAGTGCTTTCCAGCTTAACCACCCACCTCAATGGAGAATCCACACCTCACCTCTTGGCGTAGTCTGGGACTCTTGAAATGACTCAACACCACTTCTACCCCATGGTCCAGGGTTGGGAACCCCAAGTCTTTGTGGGAGAAATGCACTTTTGCAAAAGAAAAGAAGTTTGCTTGCAAAGAGGTGCAAAGGAGTCTAACTTCAGGACTGGCCCACCGAATAAAACAAACCACTAGTGTCTGAAGAACAATCTTGCAATATTACTAACATTACCAAGTATACATTAGTCTGTTTGTGCTGGAGGAGCAGCAGCTTTCTCATCTGGATATGGTAACCACAGAAGCTAGGACACTTCTTCAGAGATCAGCATTACAAACACCAGGGATAAATAGGGACAACTAGACAGGATGAGCCTGTTGTTGTTAGTTGATCTCATGGTACAAAGCTGTTTTTCCTTCCAAACCGTGGATGATTATGTACATGTTTATACACAATGGCAGAGGGCAGACTGTCAGTTCCATCCTATCTTAGAATTGTTGGGACATTGAAAGTGAAGTCACTGAATAGTATAGAATACGATGCATTTGAACCCTTCCTCAGGAAAATAGGGGGCTTGGGAAAGATCGATGGGAAACCAGGTTGATGATGAACTTGGTATCACTGGAGATATGTAAGTTATGATCCGGTCAGGTCTAGAGGTTAGCAATATTTTTTTCCCTGCCCTATCTTTAAAGGTTCTAGTGCTAAGGCATCATACAGGAGTGATAACTTGAAGAAATGTGGCATTAACGCTTTGCAAATTTCTTTTAATTTTAGTTTCCTATGAAAAGTCCTTCATGTTTGTACATTTTGCATTGATTCATTCCTCAAATATTTATTGAACTTTGACTTCATCCTGGATACTGAGTTAGACTCTGGGTCACATGGTGAACAAGGCCTTCTCATAGAGGGCTCCATGAATGACAAGTGTGCAAAGCAACAGAAGGTGAAGTACAGGGGTACTTCGGTAGCTTTATTCTCAGGGTGCCTAACTTGGTTCTGTGGTGTAGGAGATCAGATTTTCTTTCTGGTTTTTCTGCCCATTCTAACTTGCATAGCTACTGAGTACATTTCCCTGCAGGCAAAGCCCACAGGGGAAGATTGTAGCACCCCATGTCTGGGCATAGCCTAGACAGAATACCCCAGTAGAACTAGGCTTATACACTAAATATAACTGACTCAATTAAACTGTTATCTGCCTGTCTCCCTCACCTATATGTCTGTGCTCATCTGTGAGGGCAGGAGACACACTTATGCATCTTGGTATCTTCTTATGTGCTTGGTACATGCTGGCACTGATTCACATTTGTTGAGTGTAAAGTGAAGTTTGTGTTAGGACACAGTTTCTGCTTATCAAACAGTTACTACCTTCTTCCAAAGGCACCTTATGGAAAGGAAACCAAGTTCCAGGGGCAGTAATGAGGCAGGTCAGGCCTCATTGCTAAGTGGAAGGCCTCACAGTTCCTGGGGACAGCCTCCTGGGAGCTGGAGTGGTATGGAAAAGGCTTTCTTTCCAAGTGAAGTCGTTTCTGCAGTGGAAGGCCAAGAGGACAGGACTGTAGACACAGCAGGTCAGCTGAACCTCCCAGTCAGTCAACTGGGTCCCGGCCATTCTTTGGGCAGACTGTCTTAACAACTGACTTTGGGCCAACCCCTGTTGGGGAAGTACAACTCATAGTCTAGGGTGGGGTGTGATCACAGGGAGTGGTATAAGCACAGAGGGCATGGGGAGTGCATCCTGGATAAGACTGAAGTTGAAAGTAATTGCAGAACATGTTAGCCAGGCTAGTAGGTGTATCTGGGATGGGCTTTCCAGGCAGTGAGAACTGTATGTTCAAGGGGCTGGAGGAGAGAGAGAAATTGACAGAAAAAGAAAGAGACAGACAGACACTGGTACTTTCAGAGAACTCCATGCAGCTGTTTTTCAGCTGTCATGCCCCCATCCTCAGGCCTGTCACCTGGCAGGGGCTGGACAGCTCCTGAGATGTCCATAGTGGTAACTGTAACCCAATCCCTAAACGGTTAGCTCTTGGCTCCCTCAGGAATGGTTGACATTTTTCTTGGCTGAGACCCAGGATGTGCCCTGACTGAGTCGAATTTATGCTTATCACAAGGTGCTGATTAGGCCAAAGTAAAGTGACAGGTGTTTGAAGATGCTGAAAGGGTAGAATTCCTGTCCCTGAGCGGAGCAAGGGTGAAGAGATCCAGTGCAAAACCCACCACTGTCTTTTGTGCCAGCTGGGACTAGCAGTCCTTGCCTACAGTGTTCTCCCTTTCTCACAGTTAAATGAGCTTGACTTCGTTTTCTTTCTAAAAATTAAAACATAATGAAACAAGTAATTTATGTTCATTATGAAAAAATAAGGAAGGAGGGAATAAACACTGTAATCCCAGTGCCCAGAGGAAAGAGCATATTAGGTTATATTCTTCCATTTTCTTCTCCAATATGTATAATCAAGGAGCATTATTTTTAAAAGCATAATAAAGTCCGTGGAAAATGTAATAATATTCCATAAAAGCCTTTTATTTTTCCCTTTATTCAAAACAGTATCTAGTAGTTACATCACACCTCACAGTTTATAAAATATTTCTACTTGCTTTTTCATAGTAATTTCTCACAGTTACGAGAGAGAAGTTAGCGTTATTTCTGTTTTGCAGTTGAAGAAACTGAGGCTTAGAAAATGTACGTGATTAGTCCAAATTCAAGTAGCTTACAAGTAACAGAGCCTCAAATTCACGTTTTCTGATTCTTAAGTATCAAGCTTTATCTACTGAGCCACGACTGCAAAAAGAATAGCTTTAGAAACACGTACATGCACCATTGGTATTTTCCACTGGAAACTTGGCGTCATTCATCAGAACCCTGAAGAAAATGAAATTTGCTCCACCTTCCTGAGTATTAATAGAATTACCTGGACTTTTTGATACATCCAAGGTGATTAGTAATGAACCAGAATATCCAAAGAGGCTGAGGATTATACAATTGGAATCGGATATTTGTTTATGTTACCCAGGGCAGGTATTTTGTTTATAATATTAGGTGTATGATTTAGTTATCTCCAAGTAACTTGGCCAGAGTTGGGTAAGACTTTTATATTTTATTTTCATTTCCACACAAAAGAAAAAATCAAATTCCTTACTTAGGTCAGGAAAAGCACAAAGGAACACCGCCTTCTATACTTTCAGTCTAGCCAAAAGAGAAAAAAGAAAAAAAATTAAGGAAAAAAATAATAAAAGAAGGAAGAAAAACAACCCAGTGGAGCACAGACAAATAATTCCAAGCTGGTATACTGCTGTCATGAATTCCCAGTATATTGGGGAAGCTGCCAGAGTCTTGCTTCTCAGGATGAACTGTTGCCAAAACGTATCATTTGCAAAAGCCGTAAGAGCCAGAGAGCTTTTTGCTCCTTAAAATAGCAGTAAAGGCAAATAAAAGTCTAAAGATAGTAAAATTAGGTAAACATTTTTGAAATATGTTATATAAAGCACTAAAAATATTGCCTACTCTCTCTAGTTTTGCCGGCATCCAGGTTTTGAGGACAGTTAACTTCTAAAAGTAGTATCCCATTGAAGAGAAAAGTCTTTTGAAAGAAAAAAATCATATTTTTTAAGAGCCAAAAATAGAAAGAGAAAGTGTTGGAATAAATTGATTGGTTGATTCATTCACACAGTCTTTCATAATTAGTTATTTACCGTATTCCTTGTGCTATGCTGGTCACCAGACTTAATTACAAGGATAAATAAGAGGTGCCCCTAAGAAGCACACAGTTAGTGGGGAGAAAGGCCCAAAAACAGATGGTTGAGACTCAAGGAGGCTGATGTCACCCCAGATGTTCTGTGCAGGTTGCTATAGGAGAAGAAAGAGAAGGGAGCTCATGACTGCCTAGGGAAGTTGGGAGCTAGTCTTAAAAAAGAGAGGACATTTGAGCTGGGTCTGAAAAGATGAAGAGAGGAAGGAAAAACACTTAACACGTGCCTCCTGCATACCCAGCATGGTGCTAGATACTCTGACAATTCCAAGAAGAATAAGACCCAGCGGGAAGTACAGTAGGGCAGGCACATAAAGAATTCAACATAAAATAATGTTAAAGCATGATTATAGAGCAGTTGTATACAGTTCTATTTAGAAATCAGAAAATAAGGCTCCATGTAGACTGCTTTCTCTCAGAGTAAGGAGTTTAAAGGCAAAAGAATGAGAGTTGTGTTCCATATCAAGCTCTTGGAAAAGGGTGTCCATGCATATAAGCACAACCAGAGAAGCCCATTTTAAAATTTTGTTAAAGATTTTAGCAAGGACCTTAGCAGAAGACAAATGTATCAGAGTTTGTTTAACCAAACTTTAATGGTTAAAGAACAGTGTCTTAGAGTTGGAATTGCTGGATCCATGAGTAGGTCCAGTTTTAAGGCTTTGATACTTTTTTGCCAAATTGCTGTCCAGAAGGATTGTGCCAGTGTCCACTGCCACCAGCTCTATGGTGGAATCCTGTTTCCCGTTTATCCTCCTGGCACTGGCTGTTCGGATTTTTACACTTGTGGATTTTTATACCTTTTGTCAAGCAAGTAGCAGTTTCTCATTGTGGTTTTAACTTTAATTTTTCTTCTTAAACGTAACACCAGCTTTTTATTATGCTAATTGGTTGGGGGGGTGTGTGTGTGTATGTGTACTGTTTGGCAAATCGCCTATTTATATCCTTGACCTGTTTTTCTATTGAAATTATTTTTTCTTATTCATACATAAGAATTTTTTCTATATTGAATGTATTAAACATCTGTCTTAAAATATATCGAATGTGGCCAGGCACAGTGGCTCACACCTGTAATCCTAGCACTTTGGGAGGCCGAGGCGGATGGATCACCTGAGGTCAGGAGTTCAAGACCAGCCTGGCCAACATGGCGAAATCCTGTCTCTACTAAAAATACAAAACTTAGCCGAGCGTGGTGGTGGGCACCTATAATCCCAGCTATTCGGGAGACTGAGGCAGGAGAATCGCTTGAGCCCAGGGGGTGGAGGTTGCAGTGAGCCGAGATCATGCCACTTCACTCCAGCCTGGGCGAAAGCGCGAAACTCCATCTCAAAAGATAAAAGTATATATATATAGTATTGAACATCTACCTTAAGTGCTATCCACTTTTAAACAACCATATCTCTTTAATTTTTTAAAGTTTGTCAACGGGCTTTTAATTTTGTCCATAGTAGTTTTACAGTATAGAAATGCTAATTTTTAAGTGGATAAATACATCAATGTTTTCTTTTATGAATACTGAATTTACATTATTTATCACCCCTAAGATTTACATATAAATATATAAAAATACATGTATATTAAAGTAATATATACTAGTATTTAAAAGCTTTCAAGTTTCACATTCAAATTTTTAGTTCAACTGGAATTATTTTTGTTATGGTGTTTTATAGGGAAGAAAACTTTTTTTTTTTTTTTTTAGACGGAGTCTCGCTCTGTCGCCCAGGCTGGAGTGCAGCGCCGCGATCTCGGCTCACTGCAAGCTCCGCCTCCCGGGTTCAGGCCATTGTCCTGCCTCAGCCTCCCGAGTAGCTGGGACTACAGGCGCCCGCCACCGCACCCGGCTAATTTTGTTTTGTATTTTTTAGTAGAGACGGGGTTTCACAGTGTTAGCCAGGATGGCCTCAATCTCCTGACCTCGTGATCCACCTGCCTCGCCCTCCCAAAGTCCTGGGATTACAGGCGTGAGCCACTGCGCCCGGCCAAGAAAACAATTTTTTAAAGCTATTTATCCAGTTATCCAAACGCCATTTAAAAAGTAATCCACTGTTTTCCCACAGCCTCCAAGTGAGACCTTTGTCATATACTCAAGCCTCATATGTGCTTGGATCTTTTTCCAGATGCGCTCTTTTGTTCTGTTAAGCTACCAGACTATTTGAATTATTGAAATTTTATAATGGTCATGTTCTTTTGCTGTTTGTTCATTTAAGATCTACTGTGTTTTTCCTTCACATTAATACTTTATAACTAATATATCAAATTCTACCTAATTATCTCACTGACATTTTTATTGACATTTGCCTTAAATTTCTAAATCACTTTGGGAAGCATCAATTTCTTTTCAGTATCATGTTGCCTACTTAATATGTGACTCCTCCTGTGTACCCAAGTCCTCAGTCAGGCTGTGTGATTCCGTTAGTGGGGTCTGCACACCTACTGTTGAGTCCTGTATTAGTCTGTTCTCACACTGCTATAAAGAACTACCTGAGACTGGGTAATTTATGAAGAAAAGAGGTTTAATTGACTCACAGTTCTGCAGGCTGTACAGGAACCATGGCTGGGAGGCCTCAGGAAATGTATAATCATGGCAGAACAGTGAAGAGGCAGCTGGCACCTTCTTCACATGGCTGCAGGAGAGAGAGTGTGAAGGGGGAAGTGCTATATACTTTTAAACAATCAGATCTCATGAGAATTCACTTACTATCATGAAAACAGCAAGAGGGAGCTTTGTCCCCCATGATCCAATCACTTCCCACCAAGTCCCTCCCTCAACATGAGATACGGGTGGGGATGCAGAGCCAAACCATGTCAATTACCTTCTCAGGTACTGGGAGAAAGCACGTTTCTCACAGCAGCTTGCTCTCCCCTTGCCAGGTTCTGACCACATCCGTGAGAAAGATGGACTGTGGGCTGTCCTTGCCTGGCTCTCCATCCTAGCCACCCGCAAGCAGAGTGTGGAGGACATTCTCAAAGATCATTGGCAAAAGTATGGCCGGAATTTCTTCACCAGGTGAGCCACAGCCCAGCTGGGGTACAAGGTAAAGTGGGGAAGTGGGCAGAGAGAATTCTCATGCATCCACAGCCTCTCCTGTCTTAAGTGATAGTAAAACCTAATTCATCCAGCCTCTCCCAATTGGAGACTTTAAAAATAATTTGGTCAGGGATGAAATGAAGTCAATTTTTATGTCAGCCATAAAGAGTGAGGCTTTAAAAATGTAGCTAACATAATCAAAAGAATAAATGCTTTATAAGCATTTTAAATGTGCCCATTGGGTGGACATGATCATAACATTGGATTTGGATTCAGAGAAATGGATTAGAATTTTATTTCTTCCCCTTACTAGACTGGGGAGCCATTTAGCTTTTCTCTGTACTCAGTTTTGTCATCTGTAGAAATGGGAATAACAGTCCAGCTGTTGAAAGAATTAAATGAATAATGAGTCTGAAAATGTTTTGTAAACTCTGGGGTACTGGAAGCCTAGAAACTTTTTTTCATAAACTATAGAAACAGTTATGCTTAGTCCACATCAACTTTTCTGCCTTGTGAAATAGGTCCCCAGGGGCTATATGCTTGTCAATATTTCTTTCATTTATTCAACAGGTATTGACTGTATACCTGATTTCCATCGGGTACATGGAATTCAGCAGTGAACAAAATACTTAGAATACTTAGTAATTATTCTTTATCATGCATACTTCTATTTTTAAAAAGCATTCAAAAATTTGTTGACAGTAATACTTTTCACTAATTCCAATTTGCCTTTCCCCCAGTTAGTGTAAAACTCTAAGAATTTTTCTGGACCTCAGTATTCCAATTATAGAAAGAAAATATGATAAAAAGGATATTAGATGAATTGTTTATGTATAAGAAATGAATAGGTATAATTTCTCTGGACCTCAGTTGCCTGTTCTACAAAATGGGTGAGTTAGACTAGACAATTGAAAAAATATATCCCAGATTTTATAGTCCATGATCTCTGTATAGCCAAGAAAGAATTCAACTAAGTAAATTAAGCTCCTTAATCAGAATTCTTTTATTAACTTTGGACGAGTCCATTGATCTCTTTCTCTCTCACGTTATTCTTTTGTGGAAGGAATAAGTAATAACTACCTGACACCACACAGTAGCCCTGGGAACCAAGGCAAAAAAATCTCTACTTTATAACAGACAGAAAAACCTGGTCATTCAGAACAGCAGTCATGAACTCTCTAGAATCTAGAGTATCATAAAAACAGGGCCATGTCTGTTTTTGTGCCCTAAGCACCCAACTTATAGTAGAGACTGCATAAATATGTTTTGAATAGATAAACGAATGAGTTAACAGGTGAACAATAGCCAGAGTAGAATAAGGTTAGGAGGGGTTGTTCAAAGAAAGGGTCACACCCTTGAATTAGTCACAAACCTCCATATAAAAACGATTTTAACATTTTTATTAATTATCAAATTAACTGCTAACCAAGGATTACAAATTAAGTCCTTAGTACCTGCATTTATGATTAGTTAAAACTCCATTATACCTTCCACTTACTGAACAAAAGTGCTAGGCACTTTTGCATGCATTCTCTCACTTTAGCCTCAAAACAGTTATTGATAAGGTAGCTGAGATTCTGAGAGATAGGGCAACTGGCCCTGTAGTCATACAATTAATAGCCAATAGAGGCTGAATTCATAGCTCATCTGTCTGATTGCAAAACCCAGACTCTTTCTATTCCACCCCTCTGTGCCTAGGGTTTAGAAAACATTTCTCTGGAACACCCAGAGGTCAAAAATGTAAAGCACAAACACCTGGTTGTAATTTCTTGTTGTTTATCATGTTAACTGGGGGAAAGAGCTGACTTTAAGATTAAGGGGACTGTTTGGCCTTTGATTCATAGAATCCTGGAGCCAGAATAGGCTGGCCTTAATTCCCCAGCATTTCTCATGTCTCAGAGGTGTCATCTTGCATATATCGTATCTATTTCACGATTACAAATAAACATAGACTCTGCTATCTTGAGCTTCTAAAAAATAACTCTCTCAAGAGGGTATATGCCACTAGGTCAAGAAAAGCCACCTGTACAAGTCTTTAACATCATAAGAAAGAAGTCAAAAAGAATTCTTGAAGGAAAACTCATCTTCATAGAATTTCATTTGTGATGCATGCTTTTCCTTGGCCCTTTTTCATCCACACTGGGCCTCCTCTGTCAGGGTGAACCTAAAGGACCTTGGACCAAAATCCACTCCCACTGAAAGGAAGGAGGCAGAACTTAAAATAAAACAAAACTAAAAAAAAAAAAAAACATTGAGAGAGCATCAGGATAAACAGCTAATGCATTTGGGGCTTGATACCTAGGTGATAGGTACAGCAAACCACCATGGCACATGTTTACCTATATAACAAGCCTGCACGTTCTGCACATGTATCTTAATAAAATTAAATTTAAAAAATAAAAGAGGCATTTTAGGTATAAAGAGTCAGTGTTTGGCATCTTCATCTGGTCGGTGAAAACTTGGCCCTGCTTTGGGAAACTCTTGTAGAGCTGGAACTCTCCTTAGTAAAAATCTCAGCAGCCTAAGGCGGGTCTCAGGCTGGGAGCAGACCCTGCATTCACCCTAGAGAAGCCCAGGGAGCTTGGAGAAGTGCCTGAGTCACTTGCTCCTTTCAAGGGAGCTCTCCAGAGATAACATTGCTTTTCATTTTACGTCCTCAGGATGTGGTGATTAAACGTTAGATAGCATCTTTCAAAAGCCTTTGAAACCTCTTAGAGCTTTATTCTGTAGAAATGCCAAGATGGGTGTTTTCTGCTTATTCAGAAGCTCGTAACCCTTCCCTGAAATCCTCCAAACCCTTCCTTTCATCCCTGGCCTGTTCCATCCCCAGTGGCTGACAGGCCTGTATTTTTTTTTTTTTTTTGCCAGCTTCTTCTGAAGTTAGATGGTTTTGGGGGAGGGCCAAACAAATGGTGAAGAAAGTGCTGACTGATAGGCCTTGGTGTGATCTGCAGTCAGCCCGTGGGTCTCAACTTCATGACTTCTTCCAGGTATGATTACGAGGAGGTGGAAGCTGAGGGTGCAAACAAAATGATGAAGGACTTGGAGGCCCTGATGTTTGATCGCTCCTTTGTGGGGAAGCAGTTCTCAGCAAATGACAAAGTTTACACCGTGGAGAAGGCCGATAACTTTGAATACAGTGACCCCGTGGATGGAAGCATTTCAAGAAATCAGGTAGAAACAGACCTGTGTGTAAGTGGGGGAGAGACCTCAGAGCTTCATCTCTGACATCTCAAGGCAAAAATGAAAAAGTTCCTGTTGGCCATTTTTCTTTTGCTGCCGTGTTTTTCTAGGGTGGCTGTTCTTACCTGGTTTTCTACTATCCCACGTGACTCTCACATGCACTCGTTGGGACAGTGGTTTATGCCCTAGTTCTATGCACTGTCCGGTACCCTCATTCTGGGATCCTTAACCTGAACTCCAGAGGGATTTTTGCCAGATATATGCAAGATGATGTGTCCATTGTACATGCAAAAAGGAGCCCCAGAATCTAAGAAAGAGGGAGAACTGTGGGAACTTAGATATCAACTCCTCTGTTTTCTGTCAGCAGGTTATAGCAGAGTGACAGCATGTAAGTGGCATTATCCTTGTATGTTTCTCTCATATGTTCTAATTTCTAAAGAAGAGAAAAATAGATGAGGCATTCCCAGACTTAGAAACGTTGCATCGTCATTCGCAGCACATGACTGGCACCCCACCTGACACAGCAGTCAGTACCTGGCAAGATGCCACAGTTTAGGACCTGGAGCATCTCTAGATGTGGACAGGATTGTTAGTGCTTCCCTTACTGCATACCGGGTACCCTAGGCTGCAGGCTGGGTCAGGCTTTCTCCCAGCTTCTCACGCCCAGGGTTCTCTCACCTCTGCTTCTGTTGCCTGTTTTTGTCACAGAGTAGACTCCTCTCTCGTAATTCATAATAGAATAAAGAGGGGGATGAAGATTCTGTTACAACCTCCCAGTTTACTTTTTTCCAATAGACCCAGATTTTTGGCCTGGTCCTTCTCAAGGCATCGCATCAGGTTTGGAAGGGCCGGGCTATGGGATTTACTGGAAGCTTCCCTCTGGGGAGTAGGCAGTGAATGGATGGATGGGCCACAGTGACCCTCAGTGCCTGGAGTCTCCCCTCCTCAACTTTTAGCACAAGTGGTTTCTCATCCTTGTGCTTGTTTGCCATCTTTGAGAACTTTGGGTCCAGTTTGGATGATTGTAAATTATGCCTGAGGTAATTAGAAGACAGATCTGTGGTTGAGGAAGAAAGGGATGTAGAAAAGGAGAGAGTGGAGCTGAGGGATGGCAGAGTGGGACAGAAGTTTGTGTAATTAAACCTTCAGAGACAGAAGGGAAATCCAGGAAAAGGAAATGCCAGCCCTGCAGTGCCTCTGGCATCTGCCTGGAGGGAGGAGAAGTGCAAAGGCGTGTATGGGAGGCAGTGGCCTAAGCTCGAGGGCCGCTCTCTGTGCTGTAAAGAAAGCAGCTGCCATACTTTCTGTCGGCAGAAAACCCAAGCATTTAGATGTGAGACCAGATAGAAGGGAAAAATATGATCCAATATATGTAGATAGAACCTCTGCAATTTAGTGAAAAGAATTTTAGAGTCTTCAAGTTGAAGCTGTGGGGAAAGGAGACCAACCTTGGTGTGTTTCTACAAAGCGAGAAACGGTTAGTGAAAATGGACCGCATCCTTCCCGTGGTGACTAACTGCAGCATGCCCTCTGTGTATTTCTTCTGCTGTCTTCACTAATCAGAGCTAATGAATAGCACCATTAAACACCAGATGGGGATTGGTGATGAACAGCAGGTGAGGAGCAGTGTCTTTCTGGTCAGTCTTTGGCGTTATGCAAGGTTCTCCTTTTTACGGAGTATGGGTAGACTCATAAAGACTGAAGAGTCCTCAGGCAACTGTCTGGCCCAGCCTTCTTTCCTCAGGCTGGGAAATATCTGCCCCAGAGATCCCACAGTTTTTTCCCCAAGTGAGAAGATAACTGATGTCCAGAGATACCGCTGGGGAGAAAAAAGGAGGGCAGCAGAGAGAAGGATGGGCTTGGCACTGCACACAGACCTCGCTTTGAGTCATCAGGGATCAGCAGGAGATTGGCCACTGGCCCCTGCTTGTTAGGTTGGGAATAGCCAGTCTCTGCCATTTGGGACCTCTGGCTTCCTGTTCTCTTTTGAGGACCTTTGCTGGTGGTTTGTAAGAGTCCTTCCGCTTATCTGCCAGAGACCTCTTCTGCTCTGGTTTCAGCTCCTTTAGTCCGTGTTTCCCTCTTGATCTGGGGGTTGAATTTCTGCATCTAGCAGCTTTATGTGCTTCATTATTAAGCTTCAAACTGGAATGGTTAGTCCATAAATCACAGGGAAGTGGGGAGAGGAGGGAAGCCCTCACCTCACCCAGCATCACTGAGGTCAGGTCTCCCCTGACCCTGGAAATGCTTCTCCCCCCATAGCTAAGCCCCCATCAGCTGGATGCAGAGAGGGTGATGGAAGGCAGGCTTACGAGGTGCAGCTAGTGCCATTTATCAAGGATTTAACCCTCCAATTGATCAAGTATGGATGAAATTACGTCACCAAATAGACCCCTCATAATTTGCCAGCCTTCAATCTCCCAGCATATGGGGAAAAATATCTCTGCTTATATTTTCCAGGGCTTGCGGCTCATTTTCACAGATGGTTCTCGAATCATCTTCCGACTGAGCGGCACTGGGAGTGCAGGGGCCACCATTCGGCTGTACATTGATAGCTATGAGAAGGATGTTGCCAAGATTAACCAGGACCCTCAGGTAATGCCCAGCCCTGTACCCTGGTTAGTTCATTCTGTTCAAGGGAATGATGGTTTGAGCCTGTGTTTCAATGCCTACTTCTCAAATGACTCAACAAAGTACCAGCTGTGCTCACTTACCTCCATGTTTCTTTCTCCATGTCCGCAACATTACAGATAATAATTTATAATAATAAAAATAGGGAGGCTGAGGTGGGAGGATCACCTGAGCCCAGGAGGTCAAGCCTGCAGTCAGCTGAGATCACACCACTGCACTCCAGCCTGAGCAAGACCGAGACTTTGAATCAAAAAAAAAAATAAATAAATAAATAATAAAAATAAACAATTTTCTGAGCATTTATGGTTTGCCAAGCTCTGTTGTAAGCCCATTATGAAAATATACTCATTTAATTCTCAAATAACTTAGACTGTTTTTCTCCCTGCTACAGATAAGGAAACTGAGGCACAGAAAAGTTAAGCAACAGTTCATAGGTTTACATGCCTAGAAGGATAACTAGTCTGTCTCTTTTTTTTTTTTTTCTTGAGACAGAGTCTCACTCTGTTTCCCAGGCTGGAGTACAGTGGCACAATCTCAGCTCACTGCACCTTCCACCTTCTGGGCTCAAGCAATCCTCCCACCTCAGCCACCTGAGTAGCTAGGATTACAGGCACGTGCCACCATGCTCTGCTCACTTTTTTTTTTTGTAGGGTGGAGGTCTTAGTACATTGCCTAGGCTGGTCTTGAATTCCTAGCCTCAAGTAATCCTCCTACCTCAGCCTCCCAAAGTGCTGGGATTATATGTGTGAGCCACTGCACCCAACCCAGGATAACTGATCTTTAAGTCAGCCCTCGTCTGGTGTTCTGCTCTGTCACCAGCCTTTTGTTGCTTTGTTTGGTCTGGTCACCTGCTTGGACAGAACACACACTGGTTCTTAGATTTGGTGGGGACAGGGAGAGGCATAGTTTCATGTGTCTTCACAGAACGGTCTGCAGACCTGCAGCCTGGTGAGCTGGGTTCCTCAGCCATTCCCCCAAAAGTCTTCAGAAGTATATCAGAGTAAGGAGGGACTCTGGGAGCAAAGGGTGGGACAGTGAACTTGAAGGACAACCCCCAAAAATGAACTTGAAGGACAACCCCCAAAAATGGAGGAGCCAAGGGGAAGCAGTGAAGTACAGGAGTTTAAGTGTTTTTCACAATCCTCATCTCAACCAGAGCTCCATAGCTAGAAAAAAGTTGGGGAAGTGTTGTGGTACGTTAGCCCCTTCTCAGTGATTCACAGCATACAATGCACCATAAAGGCTCCAAGAATTCGGACATGGTGGCCTACACCTGTGGTCCCAGCTACTCAGGAAACTGAGGCAGGAGGATCACTTGAGCATAGGAGTTCTGGGCTATAGTGTGCTATGCCTGTAGGGTGTCCACACTAAGTTTGGCATCAATATGGTGGCCTCCCGGGAGAGAGGAACCACCAGGTTGCATAAGGAGGGGCTAACAGGCCGAAGTTGGAAACAGAGCAGGTCAAAACTCCCATGCTGATGAGTAGTGGGATCGCACCTGTGAATAGCCACTGCACTTCAGCCTGGTGACATAGCAAGACCCCATCTCCAAAAAAAAGAAAAGGAAAGAAAAAAAGAGGGTGCCAAGAAGACTTGCAGTAAAGGTAACTGTTTAAATAGCATTTACTGAAGGACATTTCTCCAAAGAAAATATACAAATGGCCAACAGGTGGTCCACATCACTAATCATCAGGAAAATGAAAATCAAAACCACAGTGAGCTGTCACCTCATACCTGTTAGGATGGCCATTCTCAAGAAGAGAAAAGATAACAAGCGTTGGCAAGGATGTGGAGAAAAGGGAACCCTCAGACACTATTGGCGGGAATGTAAGTTGGTAGAGCTATTTTGGAATAACCAAAAGTATGGAGGTTCCTCAAAAAGTTAAAAATTTTTTGGTACTACTAATATATGATCCAGTATCCCTCTTCTGGATATATATTCAAAGGAACTGAAATAAATATGTCAAAGAGATATCTGTTCTCTCTTGTTCATTCAGTATTATTCACAATAGTCAAGATATAGAACCAACCTAAGTGCACATCTACAGATGGATGAAGAAATTGTGAGAGAGAGATGTGTGTGTGTGTGTCTCTGTGTGTGTGTATACCACAGTGGAAAACTATTCTGCCTTAAAACAACAAAAACAAAAATCTTGCCATCTTGCCATTTGCAACAACATGGATGAACCTGGAGGACATTACGCTAAGTGAAATAAGCCAGACACAGGAAGGCAAATACTGCATGATTTCACTAGTATGTGGGATCTAAAAAAAGTGAAACTCATAGAAACAGAGTAGAAAGGGGCTTACTAGGGGCTAGTGGATGGGAAAAATGGAGAGATGTTGGTCCAAAGGGTACAAAATTTCAGTTTTGTAGTATGAAGCAGTTCTAGAGATGGAATGTACAACATGATGGCTATAATGAATAACACTTGAAAGGTACTAGGAGAGTAGATCTTAATTGTTCTCACTAGCACCACCACAACAAAAAAGGTAAGTAGGTGACAAGATTGATATGTTAGTTGACTTGACTCTAGTAATAAGTTCACTATGTGTTTGTATATCAAGACATCATATTATATACCTTAAATATAAACAATTTTTATTAAAAAATTAAAAGTAAAATAAAATAAATAGCATTTGCCATGCTTATTTTTCCACAAAGCCTTTTTTCTTCTAACACCTAATTAAAATCCTGTGAAACTTATTTGGAAACCCCTGGCAAAGTGGTTTTGGGCAAAGGTTTTAGGGTTAGAGAGCTCTTGTTTTAAATTCGATTCCTGCCACTTAATAACTGTGTGTCCCTGGGTAAGTCATTACAATGTTTTGAGTCTTGGTTTTCTTGTCTGTCAAATGGCAGAGTAATACCTACTTCATCCAGTTGTTACTGGGATTTAAGGAGATAATAAATGCAAAATGTTTAAACACTGTGGCTGGCATATACCATTAACTTTTCAGAATAAGCAGCTCTCATAGTTATTTTAGTCTAATTTTAAGCATAACATAAAATTTGCTATTATAGCCACTTTTAAGTATACAGTTTAGTAATGTTGTACATATTCATATTGTTGTCCAACGTATCTCTAAAACTTTTTTTCCCCAAAACTAAAACTCTATGCCCATTGAACAGCGCCTCCCCACTTCTCCCTTTTCTCAATCCCTGGTACCACCTTTCTCCTTCCTGTGTCTGAATTTGACCACTGTAGGTACCTCACATGAGTAGTATAGTTGCTTTTATTACATAAAGCGGGAGATGAGAGAATGCTTCACTTTTACATTTTTTCCAGTGGGCAGGCCCCAGTTTCAGTCATCACCAGTACCCTGTTGTGTTGTAGGCATCCCTAAAACTTCAGCCAAAGGCAATGGGGTCTGCATTATAGAGACTTAATAGCACAAGAGAAAAGGAAAAAGGAAATTGTGTTTACTTGTCTTTTGATCATCAAGATAAATGCTTGGCACATGGTAGATTCAAAGAATGAAAGAAATTTGTTTCCTCTGAACCACAGTCCTCGGGAGGTGGGATGGCAGTGAATGGTGTGAGGATCCCACAATGCCCAGGTGTATCACCATCTAGCCGGGGAGCTGCCTTCCCTTATTCTGCAGCTGCTAGGCCATCAACACTTTGTGGGGACTGCCCAAGCCCTAAGGGGAATGGCACGTGGCAGTTTCAGCAGGTGGAGCTGATTCTCCTCATCCAGGTATAATGAATTGGTGGAGATTTAGACAAGAAAAAGTAGCAGTCAGCAGTAGAAAATGTACTACTCCTAGCTCTGCTATTGAGTCATTTAGTCAAATTACTTCATCTCTTTGGGTATCAATTTTCTCATCTGTAAAATGGGCAGTTCAACTAGATTATTAGTTTTGTTTTTTTTTAATATTGAAAGCATTTATTTACTTAAGCAACACAATTCTTTTTTTTTTTTTTTTCCTTTAAGCAAGAAGTAGATGTGGGGAGGGGTTGCTGCATTTTTAAACATTCCCGTATTAGGCTGGGCACAGTGGCTCACGCCTGTAATCCCAGCATTTTGGGAGGCAGCAGATCAACTGAGGTCACGAGTTCAAGACCAGCCTGACCAACATGGAGAAACCCCGTCTCTACTAAAAATACAAAATCAGCTGGCTGTGTTGGCGCATGCCTGTAATCCCAGCTACTCAGGAGGCTGAGGCAGGAGAATCACTTGAACCCGCGAGGCGGAGGTTGCGGTGAGCCAAGATTGCACCATTGCACTCCAGCCTGAACAAGAGTGAAACTCTGTCTCAAAAGAAAAAAAAAAAAAAAGATTCCTGTGTTAGTCTGTTTTCACACTGCTGACAAAGACATACCCGAGACTGGGCAATTTACAAAAGAAAGAGGTTTAATTGGACTTACAGTTCACGTGGCTGGGGAAGCCTCACAATCATGGTGGAAGGCAAGAAGGAGCAAGTCATGTCTTGCATGAATGGCAGCAGGCAAAAGAGAAATTGTGCAGGGAAACTCCTGTTTTTAAAACCATTAGATTTCATGAGACCCTTTCACTATCATGAGAACAGCACAGAGAAGACCCACCCCCATGATTCAATCATCTCCCACTGGGTCTCTCCCACAACACTTGGGAATTATGGGAGCTACAAGATGAGATTTGAGTGGGGACACAGAGCCAAACCATAGCAATCCCATTGGGTACAGTGTGGGAAAGAAAGTGGAAGATATACAAGTGGATGTGGAGGCACTCAGTGCTCCAGGTAAGAGAGAGGATATTGACTTGGCAAGAGTTACAGCCGGAGAGTGGAGAGAAAAGGGGGCCGTGGAGAGAGATTTAGCAGAGAAAAGTCACTTAGGCCTGCTCATGGACTGGGCATGGGGAAAATGCAGAGGAAGATGTCAGGAGCAACTCCTACTTGTTCACTTTACATGAAAGACAGTAGTGTTGATCTACTGAAATAGAAACTGCTGGAACTAGGTATTGGGGGATATAACATGTGTT